GTAAACGAGGCCTAACAGAAGAAATGAAAGTAAATGTTGTGGTACAAGATAGGACATATAGATAATGGTAATGTGTGTTGGGTTAAATTTGGACAGATTATTAACTACTCAAAAGTTATTTAGAGGGTGTTTGGATTGACTTAAAAGTTAGTCAAATCTATTTTTAAGTAAGATTTTGACTTTTGGATAAAAAAATAACTTAAAATAAGTTAGAAAGTGTTTGGCAAGGTAAAAAATGACTTAAAATAAATTTAAAATGACTTAAAATAAATCAAAAACCAAAAATAGATCTCTCCCTATTTTTTTCATTTTTTTGACTTAAAAGTCATTTAAGTTTGACTTTTTATTTTTGACTTAAAAATTATTTTTTTAAGTCAATTCAAACGAGCTCTTAGATTATTGAGATAGGCAAAATAATGTGTCATATAGTCCAACCCTGCCAAATCTTACCATATTTTAATTTTCTAATTTTTTTAATTAACAAATAAAACTAATATCTTTTTTTGGAAAAGCATGACATATCAAACAAAAAAAAACTAAATTATATTTATGAGTTCTTAAAAATTTCAAAAATAGCAAAGATAATAGACATAATAAAGCTCTATAGCTAAAGTTTCAATAATTGTGCTCTATAGCTATAGTTTCGTTTGCAATGAAGGTTGCAGATGGTATATTTTCACTTGTGAATATACAAACATGGTAAGTTTATACAAATTCCGTATTTATACATAGGAATTTTTCAGAACTTCGTTTGTATATTTCGCTTGCCAATATACAAACACAGTAATTCTTTATGATTTTTTCATAAATCGTATACAAATAGCTAGGGTAAGCATATACAAATTTTGGATTTTTACATTCAGAAATCGAATTATACAAATTTTGAATTTATACACTTAGAACCGAATTGTACAAATTGTGGATTTATACGATTAGGAAACCTAATAGCAAAATTCCACTAAACTATAGCCACAAATTAAAAATAATTAAAACTATAATCATATTACATAATATACTCTAGATGTTTATCATTTCAGATAATTTTCCCAATAAATAGGTGGATTAGTAATCCGAACCATGAACGAGTTTGCGGCGGTGGCCATATTTTCATTGTCACAATTTCCACATTGTTTGTTAGTGATCCTGTTTTCTAATGTTAGAGAACTCTAGAAATAATTAACAGAGGATTAGTAAAAATTGGACACGTAATTATATTTTTGAAATGTTTGGTGATAAATTGAAACTCAGAAATAAGAGAAAAGAAAGTATTAATATTTGTATCTAAATTCTGCAGCCATGATTGACTCTTTTCTTCTTTTAATTTTAACGTTTAGTCATATAATTCATTAATTATAAGTTATATTGTGCTTATTTTAAATAAAATTAGATTCAACAATTTAAAAAGCCAATTTCTTTAGTGAATAAATCATAAATGAACCTACAACATATTTCACCTTATGAGACGATCAGTTATCTCAACTCTTTTTATTAATTATTTTTAGGGCAGTAAATATTCAAGTTGACTCCTTAACTTTTTAAATTCGACACTTAACCCCCATTTGTTTCAACTTAATAAGAATCCAACACTAAATTATCCTCATCTTGGTCCACTAATTGTATTTTTTTTTTTTTTACATCACTCATTTTATTTTAATAAAGTCTGAATCATTCAAATACAGTACAAAGTTCTAAAAAGATTCTAATGTTTTATTGATATACTATTTAATTTTTATTATTATTTTTAAGATAATCTCTATTTATTACTTATTTTATGTGACATTACTCATTCCTTTTTAGTATTTCTTTTTTAAAATAAAATGATATTGTTGGCGAGAAATTTTAAAGTGATGAAAAATAAATTGCAATTACAAATAAAATTTGATGAAATATAGATTTATTGATGATTTGTGAGTAATTATGTTCCTCACTTGATTTTCTCTTTGAACTTTTTCTATGTTTAGAGAACTGTTAGTAGCGTATTTCTCAAACGTAGGATGATTTGGGCCTTCTTGTTATGTATTTGATCGCTAGGAATGTCGGGCGGTGGCTATACACAAAGATAGTATTTGATGGTTTGATCTCTTTATGATTATCTCAGGAGTTTATGAGTTTTTAAGATTTTGGTCTCTTTATGAATACCCCAAGAGTTTATAAGATATTCAATATCCTTTTTCAGGGAGATATGTTAAACCTTTTTATATAGGCATGAGATGAGGTTTAGCCGTTTAGGATAGAGTAGCCTCCAAAAACTCTAACAAAGATTTGTCTTGTCTTGTACATTCTCACAATATTTTGATGTCTACAATTGCCCCTTCAAAGCTTGTCAAAGTGTAGACTTGATGAAACAAAGACGAGACTTGAAGTACCCATAAAAATAGAGTTTCCATTTTTTGCTATTTTGTGGCTCCAGATTTGCAGATTTGATTTATTAGAGAAGAAATGAAATACAAATTTGGTCTCATTGAGCGTGTCAATTTATTTGCAACAAGTTTTAAAGTGATAGAAAATAAAGTCACAATCACAAATAAAATATGATGAAATCGAGATTTTATTCATAAATATTTGTGATTACAGTTATGTTCCTCCCTTGTGATTTGAGGGCTATTAATAATATATTTCTCAAATATAAAATGATTTTGGATCACTTTGTAATGCAGTTGATCGATAAAAACGTCAAGCAACGACTTTAATAGTTCTTAAACAAAAGCAAATAATGCACATTTAGATATTGATAAAATACATAATTTAAATTATTTAGTAATCAAACATTGAGACAACATCTTAATAATCAGATATATACGGGGACATGTTATGTTGCTAAAAACAAATGGGCCTTATCTATAGCCCCCTCAAGACTTGGAGAAAAATGACAAGATTGTTGCACGTCCCTATCAGAAGCACTCGATCATGTTTATTATTATGTTTCATAGAAGGAAATTTTATAACCTTTTAAATTAATTGTGGATGGAAATAAAAAATCAGTTTGTAAGCATTGAAGTGTTTTTATTGAATGACTATCCCCACTCTGCCTTCCTTTATTTCTAAGTGGAAATTGTACACATGCTATTGCTACAACAAGTGGTGGACATGACACATCAAAAAAGTTACGGCACTTTTGTAAATATCATTCATTTCCAACCATATTCATATCCTCTCTATGGCATGTAGTTAATTATTATATCTAGGGTTCTCCCAATGTATTTCTTCACTTTATAATTAATTGATCACAAAAACATTTATGGAATAGACATTTTTTCAAATATAGTACACTTAATTCCTATAGTCTTTTCCCCTTTCAATATCACCCCATTAGTTAACGATAATAACTTAATTGCTGCTAAATATGTATTTCTAGCAGCAATTAGCATTCTTTGTAAATGTTTCTAAAGCTTGTAGAGACATTAGATCAAATGGCGATGAACTAATGTTGGTAAAGGCTTTAGCATTCTTTGTTAATGAATATATGTATTGCAGTTAGAATGTGTTTTTGTTATAGTGTAGGTATACATATGTATATCTTTGGAACTTGTAAACTCATGTATTTTCTTGCCAAACAATGTATTGTCATTGCAATGTTAGACATGTCTCATGATTGGCATAGCAGAGAGAATAATGAAAAAAAGGCATTAATAAGAGCAAAAGAACAAGAATTTAGGCCAATGTCTAGAGCAATAAGACTAAGCTCATTTTAATGTTGAATCATATATCCTAAGGGTGTAAGGTCAAAGGCTAAGTAGTGGCAAAATGAAATTGGATGAAGAAATCATGATCATCCCAAAAAATGAAAGAAAGAAGTAAAATAGACAAGAAAATGGAAAGGTAGAAAAAGATGAAAGTAAATTTGTTGTATTTGTCATTGAGCACATAAGAGGCCATATAGACAAATTTATTGGCCTTGTTACCAAAGAAACAAGTAACTTTTTGACATGATGGTATAACTTGATATAAGTGGTTGTTTCATAGAAGAGTTTCAATGGAAAAGAAACTGGAGCACTGGATGTCACATGGCAGTCACCTTCTCTTTTGTCATAGCTAGTTTCACTGATCTAGTCATTTTCTTTTCTTTATCCCCTCTCAATGATCTAGTTACAGTCTCAGTTTATATGGAAGAGAAGAAAATAAAATGATCACAAAGTAATATGTACATTTAGGGGTAGGAAAGTCATCATGTAGAAGAAAATTAAAGTAGTGATGGTGGGGGTAGAGGCGGATATAACGTTTGAGCTACGAATTCAATCAGACTCAATATTCTTAACACGAAACACAAATATAAATGTGAATTATCAAACTTTGAAAAATATTAGATTTTGAACTCATATTTTTAGAGGTATTACGAAAAATATTAGATTTTGAACTCATATTTTTAGAGGTATTACGAATTTAGTCTTATTGAACTTATTGACTTCAAATTTTGGATCTGTCAGGGGAGGAGGGATGGGGGGTTGTTATGGGTTGGAAAGGTGGAGTTCACATATAGAAATCAAGAATTAAGAGATTTGGGAAACATTTTAACCTCTTTTGGTCCAAATCTTGCTTATTGAGGTTCCTTAAAAAGGTCTAATCCAAAATTTGGGAAGCATTTAAGCTTGAGTGTAACCTATTCCAATGTTCTCTTCACCCATCAAACATCACTGTCACTTTCAAGGGTCATTTTCTACTCTGTCCACTTCCTCCCCCCACCCAACCCACCCCCACCCACCCATCCCCCTCCCCCCACCCCTCACCCAAAACTCTCTCATGAATTAAAAAAACAAATGTTTACAAACTAATGACCTAAATTAGAAACTTAAACAAGAGATGAAGAAAAATGAATGGCCAAGAAATGAGTGATCATCTCTCATTAGATAATTCCCTATTTAACCATCCTTTTAAATAGTGCTTGTTCAACACAAGATAACAAATAGAAAGAAAAAAAAAGTAATAAAATTTTGAGTGTCTAATATAAAATTAGCATAGGAATAAACAGACAATGAAAAATCTTAGTTAGATAAGTAGTAGTAGTAACATAACATACTTAATAAATAAAAGTAAACACTCTTTTACTTTATAAATACCTATCCCTTAGTCCAAAGTCTCTTCCATTTTCTGTATCTACAAAATCCTCTTCATATTATATACTAATTTGCAACCAAAAACTTAAATCTTCTCTTTCCTTTCCTTACAAGGTTAGTCATCAACTTAAAATATTCAAATTCCCTTTATTTTATCTATCAATTTTAAAACCATTTCTTCAATTAATATAACTAAATATCATATGGGGTTAGGGATTTTAATCCAAATTCTTTATCTTTTAGTCTATGTAGAACAAAAAGTTCAAATCTTGATCAAGATTGTGTTTTTGTGACAAATTTTTTTTTTTTTTTTTTTTTTTTTTGTGATGTAGGTGAAGAAATGGACTTCCAAAGTGATCTAACAAGAGAGATCTCACCACAAAGGAAACTAGGAAGGGGGAAAATTGAGATCAAACGGATCGAAAACACGACGAATCGACAAGTGACATTCTGCAAGAGGCGCAATGGTTTGCTAAAAAAGGCTTATGAATTGTCTGTGCTCTGTGATGCTGAGGTTGCTTTGGTTGTCTTCTCAAGCAGAGGCAGACTCTATGAGTATGCCAACAACAGGTAAATTAAATTTCATAAAGTTCTAATCTTTATAATTAAGTAATTAATACTTCCCTTAATACTATAGTACATTTTAAAAAAAAATTAAATCATGACAAGTTTTTATATTTGAAGGTGAAGGGTATTTCTTGTTTTTCAATGTTTTTTTGTCTTTCTTAAAAGGGAATTTTGATTTATTTTTGGAAAGTTTGAATCTTTTATACATCTTATGATGATATATAAATGTTTAGGGAGATCTAAACTTAACTACTTGATCATATATATATATAGTTGTGAAGTTTTTTTTAAAAGACTTTTGAGCAAAGATTGACTTTCCTTTCTTTTTTGTGTTAATATTTTTGTTACAATTTTGGTCTATTAGAGGGTAGTTTTTTTTTTCTTTTTGTTATGATCCCATTTTGTTGATAGACATGTAAGATGAATAGATCTGTTTGTTGTAAGAAAATAAGTGGAAATTTTGAGAAAGTACTCTCATCAGAACTCTTAGATCAGCATATATTTTCTTCCTCCATTGCTCATAAAAAAAAAAAAAAAAAAAAAAAACTCTCACACACAAAATGAAGGAAAAAAAGGTGTCAAATTTTAATTGGCTACAACAAAAAAAATTCCTTAATTCTTGTTTTGTGATGAGATTAATATGACATGTATTGTTACACAACCAATCAAAATCAAGATTAGGGTTTTGTACTCCATTCACTACTAATAATATCAGTGAAAGAAGTACTCTTTTTTGTCATGAGTCAAACTTGCCCTAATTAGGGTTTTTTAAACTTATTTTTTGCTAGAAATATTATGGCTATTTTTTATTTTTTTTTGCTTCTTAATTTATATTTTGCCTTTCTGATAATCAAAATATCAGATATGGTAGAAAAATTAACCAATCAGAGTTCAAAAAGATTTCAATTATAGACAAAAGTTGACATTCTTCTTCACTTGCTATTTGTTGAAATGTTTTACACCATTTAGGTAATGGGGTCATCAACACTCTACCTTTTTATTTTTTTACAAAAAATTGTTAAATGTGAGAGTGGTTGGTATAAGTTTTTTTTTTTTCTCAGTTACAAGAATCTTTGGTCACGTCATACAAGATTTTACACTTGTTGACAAATTTGATGAGAAAAGACACATTATAGTAAATTAAAGGAATGGTTTTATTTCCCTTCTTTGATTTCTCTTTTAATTTCCAACTCTAATGGTGAAAACTCACACACAAAATTAATTTTTTTTTGGTTTGAGATATCTCAGTTTAATGCTTTCACAAAGGTTCTGTAGATGTTTGAACTTAAACAGCAAAGAAACAGAAGTTGTAAGAAAAGAGAAATTGTAAACCAATCAAATATTTTTTACTCAAACTAGGGTACACTTATTAGCTATGTTATATCAAATACTCCAAGCGGATCTTGTGCATAGATATATTTACGTAACTTTTTTTTTTTTTTGAAAAAAACAAAAAGTTACTGCCTATATTTCAATTTGTTTGTTGTACTTTGTTTTTAGTCTGTTTTAAAAAAAATTCTCTATTCTTTTCTGATGATTCTTTAGTTTCAACTTTCGTGCACATCACCACTACTAGAAAACATGAAATTTATGGGTAATCTTCATCTAATTGACGTTAAAAAGCTTCTGGTTGATTGATTCTTCTTAAAAGCCGTCGTTTATCTGTAGCTAAATGAAATTAATTGTTCGTAGCTAATTCCTTGTTTTCTAGTACTGTATGTGTTTAAATTACAAGATTAAATAATATTTTTGGTACATTTGACATTATTTTAACTTAAGACCCGAGATTTAAAAGTCATTTTCTATTTATTTTTTAAACAGTATATCAAGTTAAAACCAGACAAACAAATCAAAACGAGTGAAATAGTAATCAGAGGCGAAGCTAGGTGGGGGTTCGTGGGTGCAGAGCTTTTCCGTAGACCATATATTTGTATTAGAAAATTAAGTATATAACTTGTAAATCCCTAACAAAATAGATTGACAGCTCAATAGATTTAAAACCCTCAAACTTCTAATATTGATTTCGCCTCTGATAGTAATGTATGATAGGGATGAGAGATAAGGTGACCGTACAAGTTTTAATTGTGAGCCAATGAGAGAATTCTGCTGAAATATGAGACAGACAAGACTCTATCAAACTATTCACTTTACCTTACAATAAGATTGAAACAAAACCCTAGGTGGGTAAAAAACTATAGTTGATGGGTATTACCCAAGGAATAAATTGTAATTATGACGTGGCAATAATCTGAACCGTTGAAAGATTGGACCAATCATGTTGTGGGAAATTGTGCCAGGTTGGCAGAGAGCAGCCAATCAGTAGCTCGAGGAAATTAAGGTAGTATAGCAGAATAGGAAATGTGAGTCATTCCCTCAGTCTTTGGTTTTTATATTTATTTTGTTTCAGTCTTAGGTCTAAAAATTGATATACTAGAAAATATTGTATCAAATGTCATGTTTGAGTGGACACATTGAGTTTCTGACTCAAAACAATACTTTTTTTTTTGTTTTTTTTTTTTAACTTTGCGTGTTGGCCTAAATTAGCAAGAAATAAATACTGAGTATTTGGATTTTCTTTACTTTTTGAAAAAAAGGGAAGTGTATTTTTTTTTTTTAAAATAAAAATAAAAAATTCAAAGTGAATAGGACATTTTTTCTTAAATTTTTTTAGGGGATTTACAAATTGATGTTTGGTATCTATTTTGAGGTCGAGTATATTCAAATTCGTGTCAGAAATTCTAATTTGGAAGGAGAAACAATACTCTCTTATCAAAGACGATTTTGTTTATCGGACCGATCAAAATTGAAAAGGATAGAATGAGTGTTTATCACTCCATCATAATTTTTAGTGGTTAGACGAAACAAACTTAAGAAGTGAAGAATAAGTTGGAAATTGAAATTTAATTAGCAACGTTTAATTCCTTGGTTTGTCATGTGTTTTCAAAATAATTGATATTTGTAGAAAAAACAAGTGAATGGGAAAAAGATAAATAGATTTACTCTTTGTTTAATTTTAGGGAAAACAAAAGCAGTATTAGAAGTTATGAAGAGAGAAAATGGAGAAATCAATTGTAATTATCTTCCTTAATCTCAACAATTCAAAAGGAATAATTAAGATGTATACATCCTTATTTCTTAGTAGCACAGAAAAATCCAGATTTTGATTTCTTGTCTTTCATGTTAGGGGAGTTTTATCTGTCCTCTCTTAAATCTTGATTTTGATTTGATAGCCATGAAAGATTTAGTGATCTTATGGACATCTTAATTATGACCATCTTTTTTTCTTTTTTTTTACCCTGAGATCCCACCCCTTTTGCTCCCTTGGTGACTCGAACTCGCAACCTTCGGGTTGAAAGTAAGGGGTGCTTACCATCCGAGTAACTCCCTCTCATCAATTATGACCATCTAATTTTATGTAATAATAAATATTGGAAATAGTATGTGATTATGTCTGTCAATAGACTAGTTTTTATGATTGAAAAGAAGCTATCAATCTAACACACACATATATATATATATTCATGGTCTAGTGTGAAAGCAACAATCGAGAGGTACAAGAAAGCATGCTCAGATTCCTCAAACACTGGTTCAGTATCCGAGGCCAATGCTCAGGTATAATTTCATACACTGGAAATATTCTTCTTTTTCGTCGGTGGAATTACTCTGGATATATCGTTGAAATATTCTTCTTCTTTTGTAATAAAGGACCAATACTAATATCGGCAACTATTATACTACTATAAAACTTGAAAAAAGTTTACTACTCTCTTTGTCTCAGTTTATGGGGCTTAATTGGAGTTTCATGATTTAAACTTACAAACTTTGATGGTGAATTCCGACATATAAATATTTTAAAATATGTAAAAAGTACTATAGATCACAACAATTAACTACTTATAATACTTAAAAGGAATAAACATTGAGAAGTTTCGATAAAAAATAAACTTGATTGACTCTCGAAATTCCAACTATTTTGTGTTAGTAAGGACTAGGAGAGTAGTAGAAATGACATTAGGGGTGCATAGGTTTTCAAGTCTTGCCAAATTTTTACAAACACTAGTTGAAAACAATTTTCACAAACCTTATTCGTAATTTTTCTGCCAAAGAAATTGGAAGAGTCATTTTTTTAATTATAAATTTTCCCATGTCTGGGGTGTTATATACCGGAATATGAATACAAGAGAGAGGCTTGGCCTTACCTCCGAATATAACACAAGGATATAAATTTATCCTTCAAATAAGAGGGCAGAAGAAGCTATTTTAAACCGTCCAACCCTCGTCAAAAGAACAACCTATCTGGCCAACTAACAAAAAAGTTTGCCTTGTCATATATTTGCCTTATAGAAGGCATTTGTCTCTTGTCCAGTTGGAATGGACCCCTAACCTCCATCGGAAGTTGCTGATAGGTGTCATAATAGGCCTCATTTTGATTGCTTGCGGCTAATTTATAATCACAATTTGTATGATTATAATTTTTTTAAAACTTAGTGATCTTATATACGAATATCATTTATGTGACTATGAAAGTTTTTCATTAAGAAAAATACTGAAAGAGTGTCATTTTTTTATAAACGGACTAATAAGAAAACTGTGTCAAGCAAAGTGGAATGGAGAGAGTAATGGGCTTCCCTTTTCTTATCTTTAAACTTTTGTAACAAAATGGTAGCTGGCTTCTGATGTGTTTCACTGAATAAACTATATATTTTAAAGTCCCCCTCCAATACTTGTATCCTTTAGTTTGAAGTTTTTATGGACGTGGTAGGGGTCTCGCCAAACACCATCACCTTCGAGGAGTATACTTCTAGGCGGAGTTTGAGAGGCTAAAGAGGGTTCATCTGAATCCCCTTTGCCGAAAATCACATTAACACACCTTGGTGAAAAATCGTATTAAATTTGTCATTGCACATACATAGGTCTTTTTTTTTTAACAATATGTGGCATACATTACAAGTTGGCTCTTATGGTAACTGTAAAAATGTTGTTCAATCAATCGCAGTATTACCAGCAAGAAGCCTCCAAACTGCGTGCACAAATTGGAAATCTGCAGAACCAAAACAGGTGAAGTTTTTAGTGTTCTTTATCTTTTCCTTTAACAATTCCATGTGTTTTTTGTTGTATTATACACATATTGTTTTCAGTTTAACCTTAACTGCATTGGTTCAGGAACATGCTGGGTGAATCTCTTGGTTCAATGAACGGCAAAGACCTGAAGAGTCTGGAACAAAAACTTGAAAAAGGGATTAGCAAAGTCCGATCCAAAAAGGTACTTAAATTAGTAACATTGCTGTTTTCTGATGAAATTTTCAATTTTCTACTAACTATTCAGTATGATGATGGTATGAAATGAGCTTAAATGAACAAATGAGATAATTCATATAGCAAAACCCAACTTATTTGGGACTGAGACGTTGCTATTGTTTTGATGAAAATTACAATTTCTAGTTTCTAACATTTGACTCTCAAACTACAGAATGAGCTGTTGTTTGCTGAAATTGAGTATATGCAGAAGAGGGTAAGTCATAGTTCAATCTTTCATCTAGTTAATTTTCATTTCAAGTTAATCGATCCATTTTCGGTCATATAATGTTTTCTATTTTCATGCCAAAATTGTAACATAATGGACACCAGCAGGAAGTTGATTTACACAACAACAATCAGTACCTGAGAGCAAAGGTCTATTTGTTTCTCTATTTAGTACTATTGTAGTTGACTTTAAGTGCATCTAAACTACCCATAGTCGTCTATTTACATACTTGCACTCAATAGTCAATCAATTCGTTTAAGTACTAATTTATTCTGCAGAAACTCATTGGTTTTGTTTTTGTGAGTAAATTTAAACAGATTGCTGAAACTGAGAGAGCTCAGCATCAGCATCAGCAGATGAACTTGATGCCAGGGAGTTCATCAAGCTATCATGAGCTTGTGCCTCCACCTCAGCAATTCGATACTCGAAACTATCTACAAGTTAATGGATTTCAAACCAACAACCATTACCCTAGACAAGACCAACCCCCTATTCAACTAGTGTGAGTTTTCCTCTTCTTTTTTTTTTTTTTATAAACATCGTGCTCAGTCAAACTAAGACATAAAATGAAATGATAGTAAAGTTATCTTTTTTGTGTTGAACAGCTAATGTGCTTGAGAGATGGTCTTCTTTCTGATGTGATCTACATATAATCCACAAAAGAAGACTACTATTAAGCTTGAAGATTATTGGAACTGAAGATGATCAACTTAAGTATGTATACCATATTATATTAATTACTTGTTGCATGAGCTAAGACTCTTGAATATTGTATGTTAATTAAGTGGACATGTATTTTTTTGCTTGGTGTACTTCCTTTTCAGGCAGTAAACTATGAAGAATTATGCTTGTTATATTAAGTTCATAACTGTTTTTCTGTCCAATTTATGTTGCTTTTTTGTGCTAATTTGGATCTCTTCACTTTCCTTTAATTATTACATTTTTTTTGCATTCAACTTCATATAATACATACTTCCTCTCCTTCTTTCTCATTTTATGTGACACTCTTTCCTTTTTAGTCCGTTCCAAAAAGGTCATCTTACCATATTAGTTGATTGTTAATTTCATATATTTTTGGTGAACGTGTCTACGTTAATATCATCCACATCAATAAAATCCATCAAAGGACCCAAATTGGTTGATAAATTCTTTCGTCTTACATGATAAATTCATACTCTTTGAGAATCAGCTATATGGAAATCCTCTTGAACAAATGTTTGGGATATCTTCACTTAAGGCCCACACTGTAACATAAATGGGCTCATTACTCAATTTTGAACTGCATATTTGTCCATGTTAGGATTTGAAACTTTTAGAGAAAAAAAATAAGATTCAGCAGCAGAAACTTTCATTCATATTCAGCTTTTTAAAAGCATACACACATATATCTACATAAGCTTTTCCAAAGTTAGTAGAGGACCATACATATCCAACCACTATTAACTTTCTTACAAAACATATTCCATAAAACAAGGACTACCTTTCCTTTACATACTTAACATAATATTTAAGAAAATAACAATTAAACAAAACAACATCTAGAAATATCTCATTTTCTAACACTCCTCCTTGAGATTTTTCTTGGATACTCCCAACTTGGCCCTTAGAACTTCAAATTTCCCTTTAGGAAGAGCCTTGGTCATGATATCTGCAATCTGCTGATCTGAGCTGCAATGAACAAGTTGAACTTCGCCATCCTTCTCTGCTTGCCTGATAGCGTGAAACTTCACATTTATATGCTTGCTACGACCATGTTGCACTGGATTTTTAGCCATAGATATTGCTGACTTGTTGTCAACCTTAATGACAGTAGCTTCAATGTCATTTTGCTCCAGATCACATAGAATCTTTCTTAACCATAAAGCCTGAGTAGTTGCACCAGCAGCGGCGATGTATTCTGCTTCTGCAGAAGATTGAGCTACCACCTCTTGCTTCTTTGAATTCCATGAGAACATGCCTGAACCAAGTGTAAACGCATATCCAGAAGTGCTTTTCATATCATCAACGCTTCCTGCCCAATCACTATCTGAATAACCCATCAGTTGCCCTTGCTCTTCCCTTTTAAACCAAATACCATAATCAACAGTTCCTTTGATATATCTCAACGTTCGTTTAGCAACACCAAGATAAACTTGACTTGGAGCTTGCATAAACCTCGACAGTAAACTTGTCGCGAACATGAGATCGGGTCTTGTTGCTGTCAAATACAGCAAACTACCAATCAGACTTCTATAAACTGTTGGATCAGCTCTGTCACCTCCTTCAAACTTCGAAATCTTTTCATTGTGAACCAATGGAGTCGGTACAGACTTGCACCTCTCCATCTTGAACCTTTTAAGAATATCCCATGCATATTTTCTCTGAGAAATAAAGATTCCAGCAGTAACTTGATGAATCTCCATTCCCAGAAAGTAACTCATTTCACCCAAATCTGACATTTCAAACTTTGTCTCCATTTCTTGCATGAACTGATTCACCATTGCTTTATTGCTTCCTGTTACCAGAAGATCATCAACATAGAGTGACACCACAAACACATCTCCTCCTTTTGCCTTCTTCACATATAAAGTGGCTTCATTTTCACTTCTCTTGAAGCCACAATGAATGAGATGATCATCAATTTTACTGTACCATACTCGAGGAGCCTGCTTTAATCCATACAATGCCTTATGAAGTCGATAGACTTTATCCTCCATTCCTGCAACTTGAAAGTCTTCTGGTTGATCAACATATATCTCCTCCTGCAACAGTCCATTTAAGAATGCAAATTTCACGTCCAAATAATATAGCTTCCAATTTGATTGAGCTGCCACAGCAAATAGCAGCCTTATTGTATCATGTCGTGCAACAGGTGCAAACGTGTCCCCATAATCCAAACCTGCAACTTGCGCATAACCTTTCACAACAAGCCTTGCTTTGTATTTATAAACTGAGCTATCTGGATTAAGTTTGGTTCTATAAACCCACTTCACCCCTATCACATTTCTGTTTTTAGGTTTATCAACCAACTTCCAAGTATCATTCTTTTTTATCATACCAATCTCCTCCTTCATGGCTTTAATCCAAACTTCATGCCTTGATGCTTCTTGATAGCTATTTGGTTCCGAGATTGCAATATTACATCTTTCATATATCTCGGAAAGAGACATTGTCTTCAAAATTGGCGAATCAAGTGAGGATTCCCCGTCTGATTCTTCGTCTTCTTCCAGAGTTTCAGACCCAAATGATTTGATTTCATGCAACAAACTCAAGTTCTGAAAAACTACATTATTTTTCGCAATTTGATCCTTATCCCAATTCCAATAAACATATTTATCCACGACTACATCTCTTCGAATTGAAATACTTTTTGTTTGCAAGTTGAAAACTCTATAACCCTTGGCTTGTGATGAATAATCAATAATGATCCCCAATTCACCTTTTGGTTCAAGTTTGCTTCTTTTGACAGAAGGTATATGAGAATAACATATCGAACCAAAAACTTTTAGATGCTTGGCAAATGGTTGTATTCCACTCCATGCCTCAATAGGAGTTTTTTCATCCACAACTTTTGTTGGCAGCCTATTTAACAAATACACTGAAGTATGGATAGCTTCTGCCCAAAAACTTTGTGGCAGTTTCTTTTCCAGCAACAAACATCTTGCCATTTCAACTACTGTTTTGTTCTTCCTCTCCGAGACTCCATTTTGTTCGGGTGAATAACTTACTGTCAACTTGTGATCAATCCCTATATCTTCACAATACTTATTGAACTCATTTGAAGTGTATTCGCCACCATTGTCCGACCTCAAAGCCTTTAGCTTACAACCACTTTGTCTTTCCGCAAAAGCTCTAAATTTCTTGAAAACTGAAAATACTTGAGACTTGTTACTCAGAAAATACACCCAAGTCATCCTTGTTAAGTCATCAATAAAGAGCACAAAATATTTATTGTGTCCCAAAGATGATGCCTGCATAGGTCCACACACATCAGTGTGAACTAGTTCAAGTTTTTCAGTTGCCCTTTAGGTAGCACTTTTAGGAAATGATTTCCTGTGTACCTTACCCATCTGACATGACTCACAAACTTCTTTAGACAGTGAAATCTCAGGTAAATCCTTAGTCAAGCCCTTTTCATACATAGACTTTAAAGTAGCATAGTTAAAATGACCATATCTTTTGTGCCACAACCATGACTCATCCTTACTTGCAACTATCAAACATCCCATCTAAAGGAAAAGTTTTATCCACCATTCTTACTTTAACAATCAAACTATTTTCGGAGTAAAAAATCAAACAATGTTTGTCCTTAAAAAATAAGGAATAACCTTTAGACATCATTTGAGCCACACTTAACAAGTTACATGCTAAAGAAGGAACATACAACACATTATGTATAAACTTTGTACCTTGTGTAGTCTGAAAGGAAATTGAACCCTTTCCATGTGCATCAACCATTTCACCATTTCCTATCCTAACTTTAGCTTTGAATGACTTGTCAAGTATGTGAAACAAGAGCTCATTGTGTGACATATGACTCGTACATCCACTATCTATGAACCATGAGGATTTGTTGGCTGTGTTTTCTACATGAGAAGCCATAAACAAGATTTCTTCTTCATTTTCAGACCTTTCAACAAAATTTGCCTGCTGCACATGGTTTTGTTATGGTTGATTCTGCCTGGCCCTGCAATTTTTCTCAATATGACCCATCTTTCTACAGAATCTACACTGAATCGGTGGCTTTCCTTTGAACCAACAATCTTTTTCTTGATGATTGGTTCTTTTACAGTGGCTGCAAGGTGGAAACTTCCCTCTCTTTGAAGATTCCTTCCTTGGTTTTCCCTTTTCTAATTTATCTCCTTCCATCCTTCTATTGTCCTTCATAGGCTGTTTGCCTTTATGTTGTGCTTGAAATGCCGTTTCTGCTACTTCTTCATCTCTTATACTTGATCTTTGTTCTTGGGCTTGCAACTTGCTGATCAGTTCTGCCACAGATAAAGTCTTCAAATCACAAGATTCTTCTATTGCTGAAATCTTGGACTCAAACCTTGCTGGTAAGCTTATCATCATCTTCTCCACCACCCTTGAATCTGGAAAGGTTTCACGAAATAGCCTTACTTTATTTACAATCTCCATAAGTTTGGCAGAATACTCTTTCACAGTATCTCCTTCTTTCATCCTTAACATCTCAAATTCTCTTTTGAGAGTTAAGAGTTTGACAGTCTTCACCCTGTCACTTCCATCGAACTCCTCTTTTAGCTTCTCCCATACTTCTTTAGGTGTTTCACAAGCCATTATTCTTGTGAAGATCACATCTGAAAGTGTTGAATGAAGACATGTGAGAGCCTTGGGTTTCCTTGACTTCGCATCTTCATAAATCTTCATTTGTGCAACTATTGGATTTGGTCCAAGTGGAAGAGGATCATCTTCACTTTCAATGGTTTCCCATAGACTAAGAGCTTTGAGATAAGCCTTCATCTTTATCACCCATATGTGATAATTTTCTCCTGTAAACATAGGAGGGCCTGCACCCAAGAAGCTGTTGGATGCCATGTTATTGCTGCTCAGCTCTCACCTTAGAAGGAGAAAAAACCTTAGCCTTCTTGCCTTCACAGATCCCTCAAGAAGAAGGGCTCTTGATACCACTGTTAGGATTTGAAACTTTTAGAGAAAAAAAATAAGATTCAGCAGCATAAACTTTCATTCATATTCAGCTTTTTAAAAGCATACACACATATATCTACATAAGCTTTTCCAAAGTTAGTAGAGGACCATACATATCCAACCACTATTGACTTTCTTACAAAATATATTCCATAAAATCAGGACTACCTTTCCTTTACATACTTAACATAATATTTAAGAAAATAACAATTAAACAAAAAAAACATCTAGAAATATCTCATTTTCTAACAGTCCAAAACTCCAGAATTTATATTTGAATTTCAGCACATTGTACTGGACTTTCACTTGTCAAAGCTTCCTTCCATCTCCAGCACCATGTGTTGGAGTTTTCCGTGTTTAGCTCAAAACATTTTTGTCCAAATATTGTTTCCGCCTTAAAAAACGACTATACATCCGTCAGTTACATGTCAAAGGATAGTTAAATATATATTAATAAGAGGTCCAAAAATTAGTCTTGTTAACACAGACAAATATGCCATAAACATGAGGAACTGTCGTTAGGACGTTGCGAAATATTGGAACTAGTGTCCTTCATCAAAATTTAAATAAAATCAATAGCAGATGGTATCAGGTATCCTTCATCCAAGACAATTTTACTGCAAACAATATATAGAACTCACAAGTTATGTGCAAAGCAATCAAATTTAAGCTCTTTTTTTTTTTTAAAACCATGTTAATAAGATGAACAAAAATTACAGAGCCAGAGGGGGACATGGCAACCTAACCTCTGGACACAAAAAGAGCGCATACAGTGGAGTTAATACTCCTAAGAGATCTTGTCTAAGACATACAAGTAACCAATAGCTAGATTTAGCCTAAGCATACTGGGATAAGTTATACATGCCTAATCCCGGGATTAGTTTTAGGATGAATTTATCCCACGTTTGATAGGGATAAAATCGCAGGATCTGGGAATGTAGTGTTACTTTTATCCCGTGTTGATGGTGCGATGACTAATCCCTGGATAACTTGATCCCTAACTAAACAAGCCCTAAAGTCTATATTATTTAGAGCTGAGACAACTGACTAATGTCAAAAGGATAGACAACAGTGGATAGAAGAGCAGTGTAAGCTCTTTCAGCAGTGACCTTATTTGGAGCTTCTGAGGGGTGAAAACCATCCCAAAAATAATGAGCTGTTCTATCACTGCATACACCTCCTCCATGTTTGCACTTCCCTTCCGAAATTTCGCAGCATGGCTCACGTAGTTTTGTTATACCTGCAACCAAAATTTAGCTAAATACGAGGGCACGATGATTGTATTCATCACAAATAACATTCTATATACAAGTGTACAACGAGAGCCAAATCTAAGAAGAGTTGTTCTATGTACAACATGATCAAAGAGTCAGAGTCATTCTGAATCAACTAACTCTAGATCCTTAATTCAACTTTGGTTGTGAAATGTTTTAACATACCGATGGATGAAGGATCTGGTACTGCAATGCTTGTAGAGTTTATGTAGCTGAACTTTGCATTGGGCAAATTACTGTTGAGATCATCGATCATTGGTTTAAGCTTGTCAGAGAATTTTCGAACTGCACTATCTATAGAGTTGATGCACACAGAGTCCCCTGTCCCATACAAATCGAGTTCTGATGGAACACAGCCTATGCCTCCTTTACCGAAGACAACAACTTTTCTTGCTCCGTAAAGGTACAAAGTCTGTGGAGTAAAGTTAGTAATCTGTAAACAAGAAAACTAAATTAGAGGAATTGATTAACGGAAACTCCATTTGTACCTTTAATTGTTCTGAGTATTGCTGAATTAGGATTGAAGCAAACTGTTCTGGTTTGTACATATGGTTCGACGAGTACAACTGAGGCAGCAAGTAGTTATTGATATAATCATTGTTGCCCATTTGAACAATGTATATGCATTTGCTTAGATACTCCTTAGTTAAGGTCTTGTTTCCAAGCAGAGTAGACATGTGGGAAATTGTCACGTTGTGATTTCGCAATTGCCTATTCATGCTGATTCTATCTCCCTGAACAATGAGAACGATAGAAGTCTTTCTATTGTCATTAATCTAAATACAAAAAAATGCCCGTCCTAGACGAGGGACATGATGAATTGTACTATTACCACATGAATTGATGTTTCGTCAAGAATTCCAGCTGCACCAGATGCATAGTTCACTCCCCTAAACATATCCACACCCTTCACAGTAGCGAATGGCTCAATATACTTATCGAAACCCAACAGTTCAGCTGCAAATGTAGGAAAACATTCAGTTAGGATCCACCAAATCTTAAGTAGTAGTTTAGAAATACTCAATTAAAGTATGCTATTTGTACATCACTAAAGAGTTGCCTAAGTTAAAGCATTACTATGAAAATGCGAAACTACTTAGATATTCAGTAAAAGTTGTAGCCAAGAGATGTCAAATAAGTGGATAGTGTGATATTTTGGACGTATAGGGACATCTCCCACCCAATATTTGCTTGAATCAACACGGGTTGGGTGAATCAATTGAGCGTTAAGGGTGTGTTCGGTATGGTGGAAAACATAAAAATATTATTCAATTTTCTCATGTTCGATTGACCAAAATTCTAGAAAACCTTTAAAAAATGATAAAAATGACTTGGCTAACAGAAATAGAAAAAACAATTGACACAATTGACATTTCACTTTAATTTGTGTCATCCCCAACTTTCAACACACCTCATCTTCGCCCCAACTCACATAGCCCCCGTATTCACTACCAGACATCCTCTACCTCCACCGCCACCTCCTATACTTAATTCTCATTTTCCTTCGTACCGAACACACCCTTATTAAGGGACCACATTAGAAAAAGAGAGAATAAACAACAAGAAGAAGAAGTTAGGACAAACCAAGGAAATCTGCTACATTCCGGCCATTGGTGAATCTACCAGTAGGACCATCAGGAAAATCAATTCCGTAAGGTGGATAATTCGCCTTTGCAGCAGTGAGGAGATTATTGTTATTTCCATTATCAAATAAAGAATCTCCCATAACGAACAAACAGGGCACCTGTTGTTCACCTGTTACCAACAAGGGTTTTAAATTCATACAAATTAGCAATGTAATCACCTTCGCAAACCATACAATGAAGCCAGTATTAGCCATTAAAGGAAAAGAATAGTTAAAATCAAAACTATCAGTGATAAAGAAATTTCTTCAATCAAAAAGATCTGATGCAATTTATTTTAGTAGCTGGATGTGGGCCACAGGCATAACCAGCATATGGAAAATGAAACATATTTACGGGGCATTTAGCCCTGAAAACAATCGCCGGTTGCTGTCTGTCATAATTGAAACTCAACGCTACTGAAGAAAAGTGATAGGGAACGGTGATGGTACTTGTATTTTAAAGTCGTCAACAACATAGTCCCACATGTAATACGCAGATTTTATTACTATTTTAAAAATACAAAAATACGACAAACTCACATAAAAAACTAAATTATATTATAAAGTAGTTTACTGAAAAACTTTATTTTAAGTGATTTTTTTTTTAATCTCAAAGTTAATGAACTTATTTTAGTAGCTGGATGTGGGCCACAGGCATAACCAGCATGTGGAAAATGAAACATATTTAGGGGGCATTTAGCCCTGAAATGCTTTTACTCTTCCTTTTTTTTTCGAGTTAAATTTCAAGAAGTAAAATAGTTGTAAGTAAAAAATTACTATCTCAAACGTATTTATATATAATTTAACAAAAAACTTCTCATGTGAATAGAATTGAGTGGGGAGTGAGGGTTCGGAGGTGGGATGGCCAAAGGATTGGGTATTGGAGATACTGGATGGGCAGGAAAGAGATAATGAACTTGAATTATTACTTACGAAATTATTTATTTTACTTTAATTAGAAAAAATATTTTGGCCATATAAAAAAAACTTATTTTTCTAAAAATATTATTTTGACCAACCAAATACGAGTAAATTGATTTTTTGACATAGAGCGGGACTAAAAAATAACCGGTATACGAATCTAGAAGAAAGCAAGAGGAAGTTGAAGGTTCTTACCATATAATCACCGACAACGGTGGATAGCCGGAGATCCTCATCTTGCCGGCGGACACGAACGTCACAATCGCCGGTTGCTGTCTGTCATAATTGAAACTCAACGCTCCCGAAGAAAAGTGATAGGGAACTGTGATGGTACTTGTATTTTAAAGTCGTCAACAACATAGTCCCACATGATTTTATTACTATTTTAAAAATGCAAAAATATGACAAACTCACATAAAAAAAACTAAATTATATTATAAAGTAGTTTACTGAAAAACTTTATTTTAAGTGATTTTTTTTTTAATCTCAAAGTTAATGAACTTAAACTTATGGACTCAAAAATATAAGAATTAGGTCACCTAACTTATCAGATAAAAAAAAAGATTCCAGACAATCATGTAAGATACGCAATAAAAGTATTTTTTGTCATTTATCAAAAGATAAAAATTACTTTGTGTCATTTACGAAATTAAAGCAATATCAATTTAATAATTTTTACGGTTAGTTTGGTGCGAGGGAAAAAAACAAGTAATTTTGAAATTAATTTTAAATTAAATTTATTTTATATTTCATCGAGAAAAAATTGCAATACAACTGATTTCGAATTTGCTTATTAGATCGTGAATAGTAAAAAACACTGGTTTAGACTTGTAAAATTATTTTTGTATACGAGATATTTTCCTCTAAACATTTGTTTAATTTATAGATTTTTTATATTATTTTTGTTCATCCTTTATTAAAAAAATGTTATATATTTTGCTTTGTAACGAATTACAAAATCAAACCTCACAAACTATGAATTACATTTGAATATAAAATAAGTTAAAACTATTATATTCTTATATTTGTGTTATAATCTAAACTATGAGTAATTGTAAGTTCGTTTGTAGTTCGGTATATGTCGTAGCAATATTTTGATAATTTTTAAGTAGCTTATTGAATCTGAATATCAAATTTAAAATAAAATAAAATTAAACACCATATCGTAAATTAAAATATCAAATATGAAATACAATTTATTAAAGTTTATATTTGATAATTTAGTATATACCAATTGTATGTATTTTTTTTAATTTTTTAATTTTCTTAATACCAATTATATGTATATTCAGGTGATCTTTAATTTTTATCATCTAAAATCTCAATCGTGCAAAAATTACTTCCACTCATCTAAAATTTAAAGGAAAAACTACCTAATTAGACATACTTCAATGTCATATATACTCGTATATTTTTAAAATATTACGTACCATACCACTAATTAAGATTTTTCTACGTATCTTACACTTAGATACATGTATGCTACCAAATACATAAAAATAGGAAAGAGGTGAGTGAGATTCGTATGTATCTCAAATACATGTGAATCTCACTAGATACTGGAGTGATTCACGTGTATCTGGGATACCAGATACATGTGAGAGTGGAGATCGAGATGGGAGACTAGAGGCAAGCGAGATTTGCCATGTATCCCAAATACATGCGAATCCACTTGGATACAATGTACCTAAAACAAATTACACCTAAATTTGACACCATGTATCTGATATATATGCATCTGGATGTATCTTGAGGGACCAAAATCTGGTAAGATACGTAATATTGCCAAGAATGTATTTCAGTAATTAGCTCCTAAACTAGTGGGATTTACGTAACTTCTCCAAAATTAAATACCAGTTCATTTGGAGGACAATTCGTGTGCAAAAATTACTTCCAATATTATATTCCTATTGCTTGGTAGAACATGATATTTCTTTCTTTACTAGACGTCTATACGTATAAATTATAATACAAGCTCATGGACTATTCTTGAAAATATATGGGTAATATAAGCTCAAACCTAACATAACACGCCAAATATAGAAACTATGACAAAAGTATTGAAGAAAATTTTACAAATTTATTTTTCTAAAGGTGATGTCTCTAGTGTGAAATGTCAGTTTGATTCGATTTCAATTGAATAAATTTTTTTAATTAATATAAAACCAAACTAAATATTGCCATTTTTTCTTTATTCAACACCACACAAAATTAAATCAAATCATAACTTGACATGAACACATGGTAAAGAGACCCAATCTTAAATGGTTTTTGGTTGTATTTGATGTCTAATTGGTCTCCATTAAACACTCATAATAATTGCATTAAAGGTAACTTGTACTAGTCTACTTAAAAATAATACTATCTACCCAACGTTACTAACACGCAAGAGGAACTTTTGACACTTCTTCAAGCTATTGTGTCAAAATTGCAAAAGACTTAATTATGCACCATTAGAAATCAACATCGATCAACTCAAAGATAGTCACTCAAGTCTTAAATAATATCACATATAATAGACACAAATAGTTGTTTATTTAATGCTTGACAAAGCTACACATAAAAGTTAATAAGTTCGATAGAACACGCATGCTCTACATTAGCTCCGCCCCTGCTGATTGTCCCAACTTATTTAGAGCTAATGTACTAGCTGCCAAGTGGCTAATATCATAAGGATAAGCATCAGTTGGTAGAAGAGCGGTGTAAGCTCTTATAGCAGTGACCTTATTTGGAATTTCTGTTGGGTGAAAACCATCCCAAAAATAATGTGATGCCCTGTCACTACATGCACCACCTCCATTCCTACACTGCCCTTTAGCTATGAAACTCGAAATTTCGCAGCATGGCTCAGCTAGATTTGTTAAACCTACAATCAAATAATAACATATAAAATTAATTCTTTATACTAACAGTATATATAGTTCAATTTATGTTGAAGTAACGTTTTTTTGTATGTTTAATAAACATACCGATTTCTGCTGGATCTCCGATTGCAATGCTAGTTTGATTGATGTAGATGAAATTCGCATTGGGTAAATTATTGTTGAAATCATCGATCATTGGTTTAAACTTGTCGGCGAATTTTTGAACTGCACTATTTATAGAATCGACACATATTGTGTCTTTTGTTCCATAGATAGCCAATTCTGCTGGAATACAGCCTAAGCTACCTACACCGAAAACAGCAACTTTTCTTGCTCCGTAACGATACAATGTCTAAAATGGATCGAAACATGTTAGTTATAATGAGTGTATATATATATATAAAAAAAAGTTAAATAAGAAGTGATTTATTGATTTGTACGTACCTTTAATTGTTTTGAATATTGTTGCATTAGGATTGTAGCAAATTTTTCTGGCTTGTACAAATGACTTGATGGGTAAAATTGAGGCATCAAGTAGTTGTTGATGTAGTCATTGTTGCCCATTCCAACAATGTATATACATTTGCTTAGATAATCCATAGTTAAGGTTTTATTTCCAAGTAGAGTAGACATGTGGGAAATTGTCACTTTGTGATTTCTCAATTGCCTGTTCAAGCTGATTCTATCTCCCTAACAAAATTATAAACAGGCAAAATGAAATGAGTCCTTTTAATTTTTTTCTTGTCAAGTTCTCATGGGGGGTGTATTATTATTAGGCGAAGAAAAAAGGATTCATGAATTTCTATTTGAGAGATCTTTATTTTTACGCATAACTTATTTGAAAATACTATTTTTTTAAAATTTAATTTATAAGTGGTAATAAGAGAACATTTTCATCGGAAAAAAATGGTCATTTAGGCTTTAGTTCTTCTTAATTAGTTTGATAAATATTGTTTTAAGTGGCTAATCTTTGCCTAGTCTATGAGAAATAATTATTTTTTGGTGGCTATTTTGCCAAACTACCTATAGTATAGGGTGTTTAGCGACGTAAATACCAAAATCAATTTTTTTTATGATGTGTCTGTTTGTGGATTTGACGTGAAAATAAAGAAATTTCGATTTTCAGGTTGATGTCACAATTTAAATGAACTAGTAGAACCTTTTTTCTAAGTTAAAATTGTGGTCGAATCCCTACTATTTGCACAACAACAAGAAATCCAACTTTTACTTCGAAATTATATTTATTTTTTTCTAACTTCAACGTCAAACGTTCTTTGAAAACTCAAACGAGAATGAAATTTAGAATATTGTTAGAGCACGTTTGACAAAAAAAAAAATATGTCTGGACTAGACATGTGTGTAGTCTTATTATCCTACGCCATTAAGTAGAGATCTCGATGGAGCCCTGCGAAGAAACTCATGGTAGGAGTGGCACCTTTCCCCTTTAATGGCC